TGAATTCGTGCGACGACGACGCCGTAATTGTTTTATCTTGTTTCTTTAACTGGGTAAAAATGAACAGAAAATATTCACGTGCCCACCAGATCCTCAAAAATGCAGGTGTGATTAACAGTACAGACGAAGAAAGCGATAATTCTGGTAAGACTTTAAAAAAAATAACCTCAAAAACATATATTCCGAAAACTATTTGTGCTTTCAATTAAATTATTATTCTAACTGTGGTTGCTCATAATAATATGCTTTGTGATATTAATTAGTCTTAATTTGTTTTGCCTACGCTTTAAAAAAAAAGTGTTCAAAGTATTTTTTGTAAAAAGAAAGCCAACTTGTCGATTTTCAAATGTTTCGCTGTTTTTGTTGAATTGACACATTTGAGTTTTGTTTTTATGAAGGAATTTTCCTTAATAAAAACAAAACTCAAATGTGTCAATCACAAGCACAACTAGTTTTAAATACTTATTTTTATTTATAAATGTTCGGCCAGATCGCAAGTTGACTATTGTTTGGAAAATTTCCGCGACTAAATGCCAATGGTAATGAAATTATTTGGTAATGAATAATGTTAATAGTTTGAGCTCTTTTATGTTACCCTACATAATGCATGATTCCATATACCTAATGTTTGTTTTGGCTGTGAGTTAGAAGCTTATTTCTTTTTCATACGGAATTTCGATCGTAGCTTGATTCAGAACATGGTCTTGAGGCTTATTTTAAACATCACTGTAGTATTAATTGCTTTAACTAATGCTAGGTATCTGAACTTACCTGCGAAATTTGGTTTATCATGCTTTGGTTTTGGATATGCACAGTTTTTGTTTTCTTGCTTTACAGATATAATAGAAAATACGCCTAATGCTAGCCCAATGCACTGCAATGAGGAAAAGGCTAAACCAAGTGAGTTTTTCTTATTTCAATTATGTCAGTTTTTTTTCGGCATCTTATATACCATAGGTATACCTACATTTATTTTTTATTTTTTAACAGCGCATCTGGAGGTTCACTATCCATCCTCCATACAAGCTTGTGGGGTTAACGAAAAACGTACTGCAGTTTCGTCTTACATCCACGATAAAGAAACTGAAGTCGGTGAAATAAGCATTGAAGCACCAGCTTATTCGCCACTGACTCCTAGACCAGTTTATGGCGTTGGTGAAAGAAGTGTAGAGGTATCCGATATTATTTCACCGTTGCCTTTTGTAATTTGTCCTACAGTGGTGAAAACTAGTGCTATTCTAGTAAACTCTCCATCTTCCTCCCCTGTGCCGGACATGTCACCCGCAACTAGTAAAGTTTTTCATATGTTGATTGGAGCAGAGCAAGACAGTGATGATTCCGTAGCGGATCCTAATTATGAAGTAGAATATAATGATATTCCTTGCGACGATAGTTCAGATGATCAAAATGAATATCGCAATAAACATGTTGAGCAGAATCATGATGGTAGTGAATCACCTTCAATATTGACAGAAGTATTAGATAACGTAGAAAGACAAGATGGGCCTGATTTCTTAGCATTACAAAACATAGAAGATCAAGAAAACTTAAAAGAAATTCCAAAGAAGAGAAAAGTTAGAAATCCTAGCACATGGAAGACAAATATTGAAAAGCACAGACGGTTAAAAGGTGAATCATACAAAACTAAAAACGGTATAACAAAACAAGCCAGACCCATAAAGCAAGCTAAATGTGCATTGAGTACGAAACATAAATGCATATCACAGATTCCCGAAGATGAACGAATTAAAATTTATACTCAATTTCGAAACTTAAAAAGTTTACACGATCAGCGGCAATTTATTATAAACCATGTTATAAAAAAACAGAAAAATCGGGCTACGACCGAAGGACTTTCACGAAGAAATTATACACTCGCTTATACACTGAGTGTAGCTGGTGAAAAAATAAAAGTTTGCCGTGAGTTTTTTTTAGCCACCCTGAACATCAGTGGTGGATTTGTAAAAGGTGCTTTAAATAAAATAAACTCCGAAGGCATTTTAACACCAGACTGCAGGGGCAAAAAAGTTCCTCCCAATAAATTGAGCTCGGAAGATGAAACTTTCATTCGCGACCACATTTTATCTTATCCTGCCGTGGAATCCCACTATTGTCGACAAAACAGTGAAATGAGATATTTAGACGCCTCGTTAAATATAGCTACATTGTATAAAGAATATGTAAAACTCTGTGAAACAAAATCAATGAAGCCAGTCAGCTCCGAAAAATATCGCTTAATTTTCCGAACCTATAAACTGAATTTTCACAAACCCAAAAAAGATCTGTGTAAACACTGCATTGCGTATAAGGAAATGAACATTAAGGAAAAGGCAGAACATCAGGAAATTCATGCCCTGCATCTGAGTCGTAAAGATGAAGCACGGAAATGTAGGGATGAGGATAAAGAGCAAGCACAAACTGACGACAAAACCCTTAGTTTTAATTTTGATTTAGAAGCTGTCCTCAGCACCCCTAAAGGAGCAGCTGGGCCATTCTTTTACGTGCGTAAATTAGCTGTTTATAATTTGACGGTCTACAATTTAGGTAACCGAAACGTAGAGTGCTACATGTGGGATGAGACCGAAAGAAAACGCGGCAGTATAGAAATATCCACATGCATCCATACGTACATCATGGCACATAATGATATTAAAAATGTAAAAATGATGTCGGATGGCTGTGGTGGTCAGCAGAAAAATTATCACTTCAGCTCCATGTGTTTATTAACAGTTACACAACATCCTACTTTAAACGTTATTGATCATAAATTTTTTGAAACCGGTCACACGCATATGGAATGTGACTCAATACATTCGAAAATTGAAACAAAAGCAAAGAACGTACCTGTGTACACTCCAGATGGTTGGGCGCAGTTAGTTCGGTTAGCAAGAACTAACCCAAAGCCTTTTAATGTAACAACATTAACTCACGACGATTTTAAAGATTTTGGTGCTCGTAATCAATATCTTAGTAAAATCTTAAATGGACGAAAACTTGGAATACATAATGCAGTTTGGCTGCAGTACCGGAAAGAGGATCCTGATAAAATATTTATAAAGGACACCTATGATAAAAACATACCATTCCAAGAAATACACCTTAAAAAGAAAAGAGGAAAGACAGTGGTTTACCCCGTTTCGGCATATTCACAGAGACTAAAGATCTCCTCACAGAAGAAAAATGATCTCATAAAATTATGCCAGGATGGTCAAATTCCTAGAATATACCATCCTTTTTACGAAAATCTTCCTTCCTCAGAAACTGTAAAAGACTGTCTTCCAGAACCGGACGTGACTGAAGACAGCGAATAGTGGTGTTATAATAAATAAATAAATAATAAATATGAATAATGTCGAATTTTGTTCGAATAAAGAAAAAATGTTTGATTTGTTGATTTTCGAATACTTAATAAATTCACATAGATGTTAAATGATTATGAGACTTAGGTAAACAGACAGTTCCTTTTTGTTAGTTGGTATATTTTTTTGAGATACTTTATAATGTTTAATTTGTTATTTTTTTAATAATTATCCTCTTTATAAAGAAGTTTATGTTTAATTAGATAAGTTTAAAAAAACACATACGCTATGTTTCAAATACTGTCTTTAAATAAAACGATACTTTGGATTTGTTTAACGCCTTTTCATTTGAAACAATATCCCGAGACTACCTATCCCGAGTTACAGGGACTGTATAGATACAGTCCCAATATCCCAGGGTGGAATTTTCTAACTGACTATCTATATGATAACAATAAAAATAGATATTATTGCTATTACTCAGCTTGCTTTTCGGTACTATTCTTATTATAACAAAAAAACCTTATCATAAGAAAATAAAAAAGCCTGATTTTAATACAGTTTGGCTAGTTGACTGTCAAAAAATGTACAATTATAGTATGTTCCACTGCAGTCAATTTACTTATCTCCCAGTTTGGCTACTTAAACACATCAAAATTATACTTTTTGCCTCATTATAAACATGGTAAATAGGCCAATCTGCTTTAATTTCTTATATAATGTAAAATTTGGAATTCTAACAGTCTCTACTTAAAGTACATTATTTTTAACTAATAAATGTACAAGCATGAAAAGATACCTATAAAACCTGATTTACAGGACCAATTTTTATCTTCATTTCGCTCTCTTGAAAAGTTTGATATTTGCAGATTGGCAAGTTTACCATTTGACTGACGACGTCGCTCCAAAGGTAAAGTAGCCAAACTGACATTTTGACGATTTTGGGTTTTTTATAGAATTGCCATCGTTACTATAATATCTTCAGTGTGGTAAAATATCATAGCTCTAGCATTTGTCGTTTTGATGATATTGCCATTGTTTCTTGTGCATATCTGCATTAAATTGAATTTGTACAATAGTAAACTTTTCTATGTGATATTCGTTCAGTTTACCTGTGCTGCATAATGTTACTTTTCGTAATACCCACAATCGTCAAGTGGCCTATGTGGTACATTGAATACTTTACCACAAGGCAAAAGTGTAGTGGAAAGTTAAATCTTGCAAAGGTAAACTAGCCAAACTGGAAGATTGAATACTTTACCTTGGTCCATAAAACAATCGGAATGCTTAAACTCACAATATTCTATTAGCCGAAGTGGCACATTGAATACATTACCTTTGTAGAAAAGGCAATCGAGACACTAAATAACCAGTGTAATATTATTCTAAGTGACAGATTGAGAACTTTACTTTTGTGTGTTTATGCACTCGAAACAAATTTAAAATAGTTAATAGCAGTTTTATTTCGCAGATTTTGTGAATTAATATCAGTTTTCAAATATTAATAAAGGAGTATGAAGCATAATCGGGTTAAAACTTAAAAACCGATAAAAGAGATGTTTGTAAAATATCGATTTATCTGTCATGGAAGTCCCTAGTCTACATTCTTGTGCATCACTACAAATCAGCTGATTCAATTGCCTGAATTCGTGCGACGACGACGCCGTAATTGTTTTATCTTGTTTCTTTAACTGGGTAAAAATGAACAGAAAATATTCACGTGCCCACCAGATCCTCAAAAATGCAGGTGTGATTAACAGTACAGACGAAGAAAGCGATAATTCTGGTAAGACTTTAAAAAAAATAACCTCAAAAACATATATTCCGAAAACTATTTGTGCTTTCAATTAAATTATTATTCTAACTGTGGTTGCTCATAATAATATGCTTTGTGATATTAATTAGTCTTAATTTGTTTTGCCTACGCTTTAAAAAAAAAGTGTTCAAAGTATTTTTTGTAAAAAGAAAGCCAACTTGTCGATTTTCAAATGTTTCGCTGTTTTGTTGAATTGACACATTTGAGTTTTGTTTTTATGAAGGAATTTTCCTTAATAAAAACAAAACTCAAATGTGTCAATCACAAGCACAACTAGTTTTAAATACTTATTTTTATTTATAAATGTTCGGCCAGATCGCAAGTTGACTATTGTTTGGAAAATTTCCGCGACTAAATGCCAATGGTAATGAAATTATTTGGTAATGAATAATGTTAATAGTTTGAGCTCTTTTATGTTACCCTACATAATGCATGATTCCATATACCTAATGTTTGTTTTGGCTGTGAGTTAGAAGCTTATTTCTTTTTCATACGGAATTTCGATCGTAGCTTGATTCAGAACATGGTCTTGAGGCTTATTTTAAACATCACTGTAGTATTAATTGCTTTAACTAATGCTAGGTATCTGAACTTACCTGCGAAATTTGGTTTATCATGCTTTGGTTTTGGATATGCACAGTTTTTGTTTTCTTGCTTTACAGATATAATAGAAAATACGCCTAATGCTAGCCCAATGCACTGCAATGAGGAAAAGGCTAAACCAAGTGAGTTTTTCTTATTTCAATTATGTCAGTTTTTTTTCGGCATCTTATATACCATAGGTATACCTACATTTATTTTTTATTTTTAACAGCGCATCTGGAGGTTCACTATCCATCCTCCATACAAGCTTGTGGGGTTAACGAAAAACGTACTGCAGTTTCGTCTTACATCCACGATAAAGAAACTGAAGTCGGTGAAATAAGCATTGAAGCACCAGCTTATTCGCCACTGACTCCTAGACCAGTTTATGGCGTTGGTGAAAGAAGTGTAGAGGTATCCGATATTATTTCACCGTTGCCTTTTGTAATTTGTCCTACAGTGGTGAAAACTAGTGCTATTCTAGTAAACTCTCCATCTTCCTCCCCTGTGCCGGACATGTCACCCGCAACTAGTAAAGTTTTTCATATGTTGATTGGAGCAGAGCAAGACAGTGATGATTCCGTAGCGGATCCTAATTATGAAGTAGAATATAATGATATTCCTTGCGACGATAGTTCAGATGATCAAAATGAATATCGCAATAAACATGTTGAGCAGAATCATGATGGTAGTGAATCACCTTCAATATTGACAGAAGTATTAGATAACGTAGAAAGACAAGATGGGCCTGATTTCTTAGCATTACAAAACATAGAAGATCAAGAAAACTTAAAAGAAATTCCAAAGAAGAGAAAAGTTAGAAATCCTAGCACATGGAAGACAAATATTGAAAAGCACAGACGGTTAAAAGGTGAATCATACAAAACTAAAAACGGTATAACAAAACAAGCCAGACCCATAAAGCAAGCTAAATGTGCATTGAGTACGAAACATAAATGCATATCACAGATTCCCGAAGATGAACGAATTAAAATTTATACTCAATTTCGAAACTTAAAAAGTTTACACGATCAGCGGCAATTTATTATAAACCATGTTATAAAAAAACAGAAAAATCGGGCTACGACCGAAGGACTTTCACGAAGAAATTATACACTCGCTTATACACTGAGTGTAGCTGGTGAAAAAATAAAAGTTTGCCGTGAGTTTTTTTTAGCCACCCTGAACATCAGTGGTGGATTTGTAAAAGGTGCTTTAAATAAAATAAACTCCGAAGGCATTTTAACACCAGACTGCAGGGGCAAAAAAGTTCCTCCCAATAAATTGAGCTCGGAAGATGAAACTTTCATTCGCGACCACATTTTATCTTATCCTGCCGTGGAATCCCACTATTGTCGACAAAACAGTGAAATGAGATATTTAGACGCCTCGTTAAATATAGCTACATTGTATAAAGAATATGTAAAACTCTGTGAAACAAAATCAATGAAGCCAGTCAGCTCCGAAAAATATCGCTTAATTTTCCGAACCTATAAACTGAATTTTCACAAACCCAAAAAAGATCTGTGTAAACACTGCATTGCGTATAAGGAAATGAACATTAAGGAAAAGGCAGAACATCAGGAAATTCATGCCCTGCATCTGAGTCGTAAAGATGAAGCACGGAAATGTAGGGATGAGGATAAAGAGCAAGCACAAACTGACGACAAAACCCTTAGTTTTAATTTTGATTTAGAAGCTGTCCTCAGCACCCCTAAAGGAGCAGCTGGGCCATTCTTTTACGTGCGTAAATTAGCTGTTTATAATTTGACGGTCTACAATTTAGGTAACCGAAACGTAGAGTGCTACATGTGGGATGAGACCGAAAGAAAACGCGGCAGTATAGAAATATCCACATGCATCCATACGTACATCATGGCACATAATGATATTAAAAATGTAAAAATGATGTCGGATGGCTGTGGTGGTCAGCAGAAAAATTATCACTTCAGCTCCATGTGTTTATTAACAGTTACACAACATCCTACTTTAAACGTTATTGATCATAAATTTTTTGAAACCGGTCACACGCATATGGAATGTGACTCAATACATTCGAAAATTGAAACAAAAGCAAAGAACGTACCTGTGTACACTCCAGATGGTTGGGCGCAGTTAGTTCGGTTAGCAAGAACTAACCCAAAGCCTTTTAATGTAACAACATTAACTCACGACGATTTTAAAGATTTTGGTGCTCGTAATCAATATCTTAGTAAAATCTTAAATGGACGAAAACTTGGAATACATAATGCAGTTTGGCTGCAGTACCGGAAAGAGGATCCTGATAAAATATTTATAAAGGACACCTATGATAAAAACATACCATTCCAAGAAATACACCTTAAAAAGAAAAGAGGAAAGACAGTGGTTTACCCCGTTTCGGCATATTCACAGAGACTAAAGATCTCCTCACAGAAGAAAAATGATCTCATAAAATTATGCCAGGATGGTCAAATTCCTAGAATATACCATCCTTTTTACGAAAATCTTCCTTCCTCAGAAACTGTAAAAGACTGTCTTCCAGAACCGGACGTGACTGAAGACAGCGAATAGTGGTGTTATAATAAATAAATAAATAATAAATATGAATAATGTCGAATTTTGTTCGAATAAAGAAAAAATGTTTGATTTGTTGATTTTCGAATACTTAATAAATTCACATAGATGTTAAATGATTATGAGACTTAGGTAAACAGACAGTTCCTTTTTGTTAGTTGGTATATTTTTTTGAGATACTTTATAATGTTTAATTTGTTATTTTTTTAATAATTATCCTCTTTATAAAGAAGTTTATGTTTAATTAGATAAGTTTAAAAAAACACATACGCTATGTTTCAAATACTGTCTTTAAATAAAACGATACTTTGGATTTGTTTAACGCCTTTTCATTTGAAACAATATCCCGAGACTACCTATCCCGAGTTACAGGGACTGTATAGATACAGTCCCAATATCCCAGGGTGGAATTTTCTAACTGACTATCTATATGATAACAATAAAAATAGATATTATTGCTATTACTCAGCTTGCTTTTCGGTACTATTCTTATTATAACAAAAAAACCTTATCATAAGAAAATAAAAAAGCCTGATTTTAATACAGTTTGGCTAGTTGACTGTCAAAAAATGTACAATTATAGTATGTTCCACTGCAGTCAATTTACTTATCTCCCAGTTTGGCTACTTAAACACATCAAAATTATACTTTTTGCCTCATTATAAACATGGTAAATAGGCCAATCTGCTTTAATTTCTTATATAATGTAAAATTTGGAATTCTAACAGTCTCTACTTAAAGTACATTATTTTTAACTAATAAATGTACAAGCATGAAAAGATACCTATAAAACCTGATTTACAGGACCAATTTTTATCTTCATTTCGCTCTCTTGAAAAGTTTGATATTTGCAGATTGGCAAGTTTACCATTTGACTGACGAAATAAACAAGAAACATTAAATAAAAATAAAGTATTTTAACGTATTACCGAACTGTCGTTATGGGCGCCATAATTTCGAAGCCATCTTGTTAAAAGTAAACAGTTGTTACTTATTTATGTTGATACTTTCCTAAATTAAAGAATATTATATCTGTATATTTTTCTCTTAGATCAAAGCGAATATTAAAGAAGAACGTTGAGATTTCTCGAAGGAGATCAATTCTTATGAAATGAATGGATATTGTAAATATTTTTTTCTTTCAGTGGTTTTTTACGCGTTGCTTTCATTACACGCAGCTCGATGGAATCCTACCTATTACAGTCCTTTGTTTTTTTCTTTATATTCTTAAAGAATATTATACTCTTTTAGATGTTTTTTACTCCGATCAACGATTCAAGCCTAAATAAGGTTTAATCAGTTATCAATAAAGCACTATGTGGTGGTAGCCCGGAGGTTAAGGCGCCCGCTTCTCATGCATGAGGGGTTCGAAACCTGGCAAATACCAATGTGACTTTTTCCGAGTTATATGTTCTTTCTATGATTATTTAGACACCACTGACATACGGTGAAGGTAAACATCGTGAGGAAACCTGGACTTATAATTTCTAATTATTTTAGACACCTCTGACATACGGTGAAGGTAAAAATCGTGAGGAAGCCTGGACTTATAATTTCTAATTATTTTAGACACCTCTGACATACGGTGAAGGTAAACATCGTGAGGAAACCTGGACTTATAATTTCTAATTATAAGTTTGGAATCGCCAATCCGCATTGAGCAAGCGTGGTGATCAATGCTCTAACCTTCTCCGTGTGAGAAGAGGCCTTTGCTCAGCAGTGGGCACTTATAGGCTGATGATGAAAGCACTTGGTGGAACATCTAGCAAAATATAGTGTTTGTATATAAATATGTGTAATACTAACCTCTATAAGGAACATAAATGTTCAAATATAAGCAATCTTCAGACTCATTCCTGAGGAAGCCTTTGAGCTGGTTCATGTAGTGCTGGCGACCCGATGATGGAGGGTTGCCCTTTTTGATAGCAGGCAGTGACTGAGGACAGACCGGGGCAAACCGAGTTGCCATCTTTACTCCTGGCCAAGGTGGAGCATTCACTGGAACAAAGGATTAATCATGTACCTACTTAATATACATGTCGAGAGATACTATACATTAAGCTTAGTGGTAATGGCTGAGTAGAATGAATTTAATTTTGTCAACACACTAGCTCTTCCAGTGAGTCAAGCTTACTACAAGACTAGATAGCCGGACACCAGAGCTCTTTAATAAACTCCATCCAATCCTAAGAGGGGACCTTATAGCAAACCCCCTCACTTTTATGAAGATCTGAGGTTTATTTGCTCATGAGAGTTTGCCTTAGTCTAAACAAATGAATAATATGTATTTATTGTATGTATAAAGTTTTTAATGTTTCTTTTTCATTCTGGCTGGATGACAGACACGATCTATAAATGACATATGTATTTGGACTTCCAACAATGATAAAACAATATCTATACTTAGTCGGGTCATAAGTTCTGTCACAAACTTTTGATGTAATAACTTATACGCCTTTTGACAATTATTTAAAAATTATATATGAAATGAAAGGTCATTAAATGTACAATATAATTTTATTTACATTATTCGAAATGCCCTCCCCCATTTTGAACACATGCCCTTAATCTACGCGGCCAGTCATCGATCGCTGCACGCACCACATTCATATCTATGTCTGCCGCTGCTTTAACCAGAGATGCTCGGAGAGACTCCAAATTCGGGTGAGGTTTAGCACAGACTTTTTCCTCCAAATATTGCCATATCTTGTAGTCCAGTGGGTTTAAATCTGGACTAGAAGAGGGCCAGTCTTCATGCCGGATGAAGTCAATTCCACGAGCGATCAACCAGTCTTGCGTACTTCGTGCCTTATGAGCCGGTGCAGAGTCCTGTTGGAATATCCAATGCCTGTTCCTGAACATTGTCTGAGAAAGAGGTTCCACTATGTTTGTTAGGACAGTATTTTGATAAACTTCGGCACTAGTTCTCACACCTTTTTCACAGAAAAACACCTCAGTTACGCCTGAATATGAGACTCCAAGCCAAACCATGAATGAGGAAGGGTAATGCCCACGCTGGACCCTCGCAATACGCGCGCTTGCTTCTTCACTGCTGTGGGCATACACCTTATCATTTTGTTTGTTAAAACTTTCTTCAATAGTAAAAATTTTTTCATCCGAAAAAAGAATTTCGCGGTATTTTTTTCCCGCGTACCGTCGTAGCAAAGCGCGGGATCTGTCTAGCCTAATTTTTTTTAAACGCTCGTTCAAAAAATGTCCTGTCTTTTTACGATAAGCTCGTAGTCCCAGGTCTTCATTTAGTACTCTTTTAACAGTGGTTCTGCTTAGCCCCATCTGCAGAGCTAGGATTTTTTGTTTACGTACGGGATTTCGTTCGATTCGCGCCTTCACTGCTTTGATGACCTTATGTGTCCGAACTGTGCGAGGTCGGCCGCTTCTCTTACGATCTTCGAAGCTTGACTCTTCGGTGTATCGTTTGATAGTACGATAAACAAACCGTAACGTTATTTTCAAATTTTGAAGAATATTGAAAATGTCTTTTGGCGCGTAACCACAGCGGTGCAACGCGATAACCGCGATTCTGTCTTCTTTATTCGACCACTCCATATTTAAAAATGAATAAAAAATAATTTCTTTTTTATTTTCTACAAGCGCGAAAGTTCTATTTTTAAAATAAGTCGAAGAATTTCTGGCCAGTAATCGAAAATTAAAAATATAAGGTTTTGACAGAACTTATGACCCGACTAAGTATATATAAAAGAAAGTCGTGTTAGTTACACCACTTATAACTCAAGAACGGCTGAACCGATTTAGCTGAAAATTGGCATGGAGGTAGTTTAGAGCCAGGAGAAGGACATAGGATAGGATAGGATAGAGTAGGTAGAGTAGGTTAGGTAGAGTAGGTTAGGTAGAGTAGGTTAGGTAGAGTAGGGTAGGCATAGTAGGGTAGGTAAAGTAGGGTAGGTAGGGTAAGTAGAGTAGGGTAGGTAGTCAAATGACGGGAGCGACGCCGCGGGTAAGAGCTAGTTGTTATAAAAAATTAACCATAAGTCAATTAGAGGCATCCACTGGTAGCCATGTTTTGTATTCTGTGGTTGCTTCGTACCCTCCTCCCATGGGAATGTAAGTTTATGTATGTATGTAAGTGTTTTGCAGATATACAAAACACTGAGAATTGTTTATACAAACAGTTTCGTGGAAAAGCTAGTTGTTGTAGCTTGGAGTTATCACGTACATTCATCGAATGTGCTGTATATTTCTGAGAAAATCTGACGGCGTTTAAGCAAACCTACTAAGGCTTTACAGACACTCTGTATTTCGCAATTTCTTCTAGATGAAGTGAATTTATTCAATTTTATCTTACGTAAAGTAGGTTTTTGTACATGTATTGTGTAGTAGTAGATGAATAAATGGACTACCCAGCACCATAAGAAAATTTTAATTTGGGCATATAATGCCAAAGACTAGCGCATTCAATTATACAAACAAACCTTTTTCTATGTGATTGTTTGGGAAATGAACTTACGGATTACCTAATAGTAAGTAATCGGCGCCACCCATGTACAACTGCGATACGAGAAGAGTTACGACGTACGTTGTCGGCATTTTGGAGATCAGGATTTTGGGGATTTAGGGATTGGGGTGTTATGGGGGAGGGGCAAGATTGGGTCTCCAGTAACACACACACTCACGGGGCCAATCACAAAGCTGTGATTGTTTCACGCCGGTTTTCTTTGAAGTCGTGGTATCACTCTGGTCAGGCTGATCCATAAATGGTAAAGATAATTTACCATTACCATTAACCTTCATTTCTGTGCCATATACTATGGTAAGAGGTAACTCGATTACGACAGTTTGTATTCAACCAGTACGCAGTAGCATGCTTATTGTTTTAAATATTCATGCTGATCCCAGCTACACAGTTTATTTTTTATATTGAAGTTATAACTCACATTTATTTGATTTCATTTGCATCTATTTATCAACTAACATTTCCACTTTGCTTTTTGATTTAACGTTGTAATTATTTTTTTTATGAAAATTAGTGTTAAATGTATAGATGGTTTAGAGAGTTTTGAGTGTAATTTTCTGGTAGGGTGTATAACTATCGTTTTATTTTATCTGTTTTTGGAAATTATTTTGTTGCTGCTTGCAGCTTTAAAGTGCGAATTGTGTTTACTGAAAATCAGGGCTAATTGCATGATCGATCCAAATGTCCAAAATTCACTACTGTTACGAACATAAGTTTCCAAAGAGATTGTATTACATCAGCAATATTTTTATTTTTTTTAGACTTTTTGAATTTTTCCCCACGTAAGGATTTTCTCCCGTTTAGCATACGCTAGACCCGAAACAACAATTTGTGGATCACACACAGAGTTGTTCCGGCGAAAATCGAACTCGTGACACGTTGCACGGCAGCCGGTTGCCTAGTCGCCGCGTCAAAATAAGATAAATATAAAAATAAAATAAGATATAAGTATATATAAACAATTTCACGTATAACAAGTAAATTAAAAAAAAGTATTTTTTATTTTTATTCTAATGATGTTATTCATTTGAATTGCAAACACGTTAATATTATACAATAGATGTTTTATATTAATTTATAGCAGAAGTTACACGCATTTTATCGTCACGGCCTGTAAACAGTGTACACTTCTACATATATTTGCAATAAAGCAATTTCTAATTATTAGCTTCCGAAACTTAAATTACAACAATATTTTTTTTTATGTGATAGGTCGGCAAACGATCGGACATTATTACCTGATGTTAAGCTATCGGCGCCAGCCATGGAAACCCGTAACATTAGAGATTTAAGAAGCAGGATTTCCGAGATTTCAGGATTGGCGAGGGATGGGGGAAGGGAAAGATTGGGCCTCCGGTATCCTCACTCACACGACAAAACACAAAGCAGTGGTTGTTTAATGCTGGTTTTCTCAATACCACTCCGATCCGGGTAATAGAATAGAATAGAATATATATAAAAAAGACTTTTACGTGTTATACAATTTTGGAACATATACCTACATATTTAGAACAAAATTTGCAAAAATCTATGCACGTGCCACATATCTACATGAAGGTTGCGAAACAGCTATTTTAAATAAGTAGGTTCATAATCGTCACAGCATACAAATCCCATGACTGGTATGTTTAAAATAGGTAACTAAAACTAGTGTTAACTTCGCATACGACTCAGTTGTTCCAGAATGTTCCACCAACTTTGTTAGAACACGACTGCTCAGAAACAATGTAAGTACTTCTTCATTTTATTGCAGCAGGTTAACCTAATCCAATCTATCATATTTTGTTATCAAATTCTCGACCTAAATCCCGTTAATATAAAGTCAAAAACCTGTCGAGTTGACTAATTTGCAGTACATTGATGTTAAAACATAAATTATTGCTTTCAAAATTAAATTTAAAGCGAAAAAAAAAAATAACGTGTAACAGAAATGAATAATTATGAAACAACCTTTTGAGGCTACCTCTTTGTAATTTTAAGGACTATTCATATAATTTCTACCAGCGGCTTCGCCCGCATTTCCAGGCTGAAAAGAATGCGTGAGTCTGCAGACGGCTAGCATGGGTAGCTCGTCACCCGACCAGAACCCAGACCTGAGCGTACGGCGCGTTGGGTTCCGCGCGCGCCTCAAAGAGCTGATGCTCAGCCGGCGTTGCGGGGTAAGCACAATAAAGGAACAGAGAGTTTTTAGTCAGTAAGAGTTTTACACTCCCTCTCGCCCCACCCTAGGCGGGAGAAGTTAATTAATGATTTTCCCCTTACAAAAAAAACAAAGGGTAAAAAGTAGCTAATGTGTTATTGTGTGCTTAAAACTATCTCTACAATTTTCATCAATATCAATTTAGTAGTTTTGATGGCAGTGCTAGTAATTAAGTAGCGTGTAATAGACGACAAGCGTGTTGCTTTAATATACACAGAGTATAATGCAAAACTCTGAGATTCTTATGAAACCAAAAATACCTAATAACACTTATTTTCTACCAAGGTATTTTCAGAAAGACCTCTTTAGCCATACTTGCGATCATTCGATAAATGTACACTTTAATGACTTTGGGCTGATTTTTCAATAGCCAGATGAATGTCATCTGAGGAATAAAATTGTTTCTGTCACTGTCTTATACAAACATTCTGACGCGACAGCATCATAATTATTCTCCAGATAACATTTATCTAACCATTGAAAAATCAGCCCTAACTCGTCAGAATGGTTAGTGGTAAAAAAAAATATTGTATAACAGGAATGGTAAATGGTGTTTACCCGAGGCCCAATCGTTCTCCTCCTTAAATCCCTCCCCAAAACCTAAATATCCGAAACCCTAAAATCCAATAGGCTGAAAACGCATTCGTAGGTTGTCCACTAGCGTCGCCAATTGCTCACCATCAGGTAATACGTATGCTTATTTACCGACTTATTTCACGAAAGAGTGGCACAGCCTTGCACCGGCACGAATGGGTCGGCTCGACCGGAGTGATCTCTCTCGGCCTCGCAGAAAACCGGCGTGAAATAACCACTGCTTTGTGTTTTGTCGTGTGAGTGAGGATACCGGAGGCCCAATCCTTCCCCTCCCCCAATCCCTCCTCAATCCCTAAATCTCCAAATCCCTTATCCCTAAAAGGTCGGCAACGCACTCGTAACTTCTCCGTTGCGGGTGTCCATTGGCGGCGCGGATTGCTTACCATCAGGTAATCCGTCTGCATACACCTAGTATTTATCCCTATCCAGTTTTCTTCCCAACCTTTTATTAGTTTTTCTAACCATCATTGGTATTTATTAAATTAAATGCAACGTTTATATGTGAATGTGTGCTACATAAGCTTAGATAAATCTATCATATTTTCATAACAAGAAACTCATGTTAGAACCGTATCGTCGGATCAGTTTTGACCTGGCACTGATCCCAAACTGATGCTATCATACTGTGTTTTGAATGAAACTGCCATAATGCGGTAACTACCGAATGATCTTATGTTGATTCTGCAGTCTAACCAACATCAGTTTATATTAAGACTTTAAGGATTAGATTTTGTTTTAATTTTTGTTTTTGATATCGTATATTAAAAAGACATTCCTTTTTCCTTGGCATAAAACTTTTTTTATCAATCCTTCTTACTAATTTGGTATTGCAGGTGTCCATTAAGGATATTGTTTGCTTACCATCAGAAGACATTTAAACCAGATTGAGCGAAAGAGAAGAAGAAGAAGATTTGTTAAGTAAATCAACTATTCTCTTACCAGGTGGCATGAACCTCAGATTCCCTGTAGGAGGAGCAGCATACGGTATACCAAGAAACATTTCCACATATTGGAAATCGTACTGTCTACTTGGCCTTACAATAAGCCCTCTCAGAGCGCCTTGCCTAAGGTGGTATTCCCTCGTCAGTCTTTTCCCTCCATCATCGTTCGGAAAATTTCGGCTGTCTCCGTAAACATTCGACGCACCTTCGTTTGCCATCGGCAGTAAGAGTGAGACGAAAATACAAATAAACATATTGTGATTTATAAACGAAGTCGCGTGCCGGTTAGTGGCCATTTTGTTTATGAGCATCAGTTTGCTCGTTTTATGCTCAGCGTGCTCAAAATAGTTGCCGTTTTATTGTTTGTTTGCACTCAGCTTTTATTGTTCACTGTACACACTGAGTCTGTGGTCTTAATCGCGATTTATTTTTAACTATTGATACATCATCGTTTCCAATAACACAACACAAAACACAAAAATATCCACTAATCAAAGAAAAATATATGTAGAATTTTGATCGCTTAAACTTAATTTATCACAGATTTTTATTTTTGGTTGGTGTTTATAAATAAATGTATGTATAAATGAAGGTTGTAAATTAATATTGACACTATGTAATTTTGTTTCGTGATTTTTTGGCGATCGATGAACGGCGTTTGCGCGTTCTCGGCGCTTGATTCCAACTGGATAGCTTCCAAAGTTGTCCCCGCAAGTCTCTAATACCAAAATACTACGGCATTCGAAGCAGAGGGGGTGCGCATTGCTGAGATTATTTCTAAAGACGTGAACATTCCATTCGCTTGATTTTCTTTTGTGGCAATCAGAATTAACTAAATGTATTTACTATATATACGTTATACGTTTCAAAAGTACCTATTTATGGTTTAGTTGGAATAAATTATTTTGACTTTGACTTTGACTTTGACTTTATTACAATTTAAAAATATCGTGAATATATTATGTAAAATATTACTGATAAAAAATTTAATTAAAAATGCAATTACGTTAAGCAGTACAATAGGACAATTCTACAGTGAAAAAAAATCGATCTTTTGACCTCTTGACAATAGAATATTTAAAAATAATCATACCAATAATAATTTCTTCCATAAAATTGATTTTCTAAGAATAATAATATCTTTTAACTTTTTATATGAATATTGGGACGTCATACGTTTCGATTTCGTACGAAATTTAAAGAAAAATGAAGGTTTTAACATTTTTAATAGATGCATGGAATATGGCAAGAAACATTGCTCTGACCTTCTGTCCCGATTTGCATGTATAATGTTTTTCTTATGTAAATAAACTTCTATTCAATTTACTTTGAAAACAAAACGTTTATCATCAAAAAATCGATAAAAGGTTCAATTATTTGTAACTTCTTCGAATAAATCAATTTTACTACAATACTAAATTTAAAACTTAATTTATCAATCAAAATCTCCTATGAAACTACACACCATACTAAAACCAAAAGTAATCAACTTGCTTAAAGTCTTAAGATAAATCTTAACAACGGATCTCATGTGCAGCGGTATCTCCCAGCGTCGCACGCGCATCATTATAACCGTTGGACTAACGCTGATCTATTTATGTTGCAGCACGTGGCAATCCGGATAATGACCGGGCAGGAAGGAAACAATGCTTTCGACCGGATGTTTGCCGGTTCAAAAACGTAAGCAAAGATAACTGAAACAAGGGAATAAATATCAATTCAACAATTTTAATTAAATAGGTATAAAAACTCTCATTTTAATTAGACATTAATGCCATATTGTGGTGAAGGAAAACATCGCGAGGAAACCTGGACTTAGAGTTACAAATTATTAGTTTGAAATCGCCAATCTGCCTTGAGTAAGCGAAGTGATTAATACTCATACCTTCTCCGTATGAAAAGAGGTTTTCGCTCAAAAGTGGGCATTTATACGCTGTTGATGATGAAGTTAGTATAGAACGCTTTGTCCCATAGCAGGCAGAAACTACAAAGCACTACAATAATTTACTATCCTTTAATGATTGTTTACTTTTCATCATACAAGAACGCCAGATACTTCGCTTTGAATATTCGAGAATCTTTATCAAAACCAGATCCATACCTGCCAGAGCTATACCTGCATATATCAATGCTTTTTTTATAAGTAAGAAAATGAAATAGTAGATATTTCTTTTTCACAATAATTTCCAAATTAGTTCGGTGGCTCCCATACTTTTTGACTAAAAATATTAAATGAAAACCCATGTCGCGTAAAACTATTTACCTAACAATTCAATCGTGGTAATTAAACACACAATAGCAAAACAAACAGTGAGCGAACGTCAGCGTTCGCTTGGAGTTTGACGAACTAAGAACAGGGTAGTGAGGCGAGGTGCACAAATTATACGAAACTGTATTACAAATGGCCTTTTAAAAAAAACTGACGGGTCAAGGTAATTCAATTGGTTTTTTTAAACAAATGTACCTTATTATTTTAATAACACCACCTACGCTACACGACTATGAACAAGATAAAAGAAAATAATAAAACATGATAGCTAAATCAAATGTTAATGACTTGCCACTTCTATTTAAAACCGAGCCAAGAATGGTGCTGTTTGCAGATGATACATCATTAATTTTTAGAATAGGTCGACGTGTTAATAATTTGGACGAAGTAAACAGCTCCATTCATCGAGTTCATAATTGGTTTACAGTCAATAATTTAGCACTTAACGAGAAAAAAACAAAATGTATTAAATTTAGCTTGCCCAACGTACACAATAATGATTGTGACATAATTTTAAATGGGCAAAAGTTAGAATTTGTTAACGAGACTATGTTCCTAGGTATTACGCTAGACAATAAACTTCAATGGGGTTCCCACATAAAGACGCTTTCGGGAAGACTGAGCTCAGCTGTTTTTGCAGTTAGACAGATTAGACAGTTCACAGACGTGAACACAGCAAGGCTTGTTTATTTTAGCTATTTTCACAGCATTATGTCGTACGGAATTTTGCTATGGGGTCGAGCTGCGGAAGTAGATTCAATATTTATTTTGCAAAAGCGGGCTATCCGAGCGATATATAACTTGTCCCCTCGTGAATCTCTGAGAGAACTATTTAAAACGATAAATATCCTAACGGTACCTTGTCAGTTTATATATGAAAATATTATGTACGTAAGGAAAAATTTGCAATTATTTGAAAAAAGAAGCGATAGACACAATTTTAATACTAGAGGCAAAGATAGGCTGGCTGTGCCACGATTCCGTCTGTCCAAAGTACAGAAATCCTTTATGGGGTTCTGTGTAAATTGTTACAATAAAATTCCAAGAAGTGTATTAAATCTTAATGAACGAAAATTTAAAACTTATATTAAACGCGAATTATGTAGACAGGCATACTACAAACTTTCAGATTATATTGAGGATAAGAATGCCTGGCAGCATGTTGGTTCGGCTCCACTGGACAATTCTCAAATATGTAGTCAGTAGTTATCAAAATTCTCAAAATTAATGAAACCTTGAATGAGTTTATATAGAAGCATTCTTTTGGATTGTGAGTACGCATATGTGAGCGCCATGTACGAAACAACAAAGGATTAAAATTTTAATGATAGATTAAATAGACCATCATTTGTTCCTTTTTATTAACAACTTGTCTCTGCATTGTTCTCACATAGGGGTACAGTAATGTATAAAAAATGTATTATTGATGAATTGTAAAACAAATATTTTTTTTAAAAGAGTAACGATGGAGTTTCTTGCTCGTTCTTCTCCATTCGAAACTACAATTTCGAACGAGCACCTAGCTTCACTGACGAACAGACTGACAGACTACTATTCTATTTTGACGTTTCAAAAGTACCTATTTATGGTTTATTTGGAATAAATGATTTTGATTTGATTTGATTTGAAAGAAATAGGAAAAATGTACAATAATTTGTCTTCTGATTTTTTTTTTTATGGACACAGTTCATGCTCCTGTTTATAAACCAGGTTTTAGAAATATTTATTGAGTTCCAGACAAACCATCTTAAATGAAAATTTCTTGTGTGACTCACAAATATTCGTTCCCGCTCTAGGTGTGATGTGCAAGTATTGTGAAGTTTTATGTTTGTAACCCACGTGATGCCATATTACGTAAAAAAATATAAACTACCGATTTATTCAACTTTGATACGTATTCGCAAAATAATATTAGGTATCAATATTTATAAAATCATTTCTAAACATTTTAACTTCAAATACTTCTGAATTATTTTTTTTAACCCATGTGTCAGGGCTATAGATGTCATATTCAAAGCTCAAAAAAGTGACAACCCGAGATCTCTCATTAGGCATTTGTACCTAGGCAAATAATAATAAAACAATAAGCCAATAATTACATTGAAGTAGTAACTTCAAAAGTAAAATAGTTATATATTAAGAACATTACATTTACATGTATGTTTGTATGTTTACAGCTCTTTCGCGAAGCTGAAAATATATTGGCAAAGACTAAGATATTTGTTCGTGCACGTATTTTTCTGTCTTCATAATTCTGTGTGATTTCATTTGTGTGTAAAATTATATAGCAGGTGGATCAAGAGTCACCCATTATGGCCCCACACAACACAATATACGATTACTAACTAGTGGGTAGTAATAGCCCAAGAAGGAACATTGATAGTAACTCGATGGCATCTGATTAACATTATGGGGAATCTGGTACCCTGTTGAAAATACCCACCACTTAATTAATATGAAGCCCAATCCTTACCCTCCCCCGATCACAGACGGGGCCCTAAAGGGCTGATGTTATTGCTATTAAATAAAAACTCTCCCCCGGTCCCTCCCCAATCCTCCAATAATCTTTTTTTTGTGAGGGGAAAATCATCAAATGACTTCTCCCGCCCAGTGCCGGACGGGAGGGAGTGTGAGACTCTTACTGTCTAAAAACCCCCCTGTTCCTTCTTCTGCTCTGGGCCGAGGTCGCGGTGCCTCATTGCGCTTACTCCGCAACCCCGGCTGAACATCAGCCCTATGGGGCCCCGTCTATTGGCTCTTTGAGGCGCGCGCGGAACACTACGCGCCGTACGCCCGGGTCCAATCCCTAAATCTGCAAAACCCTAATCTTCCTAAAAGGTCGGCAACGCACTCGTAACACCTCAGTTGCAGGACATACAAGTTCTAAAAAATTTAACTGATTACTGAATTAAGTCAGTTTCATCAGATAATTCAGAGTAGGCAAGTTAG